TAATTCGTCACCTTCCTCAATGCTGAGTGTGAGCAGTGAGGGTTTTATTACTGTGGACTGGACCACAATGGCATACATGCAGCATCACCGGTTCAAAAGCCATTCATGTGACCCTTCAAAATTAGGGAACTGGCTTAAAGAATAATGACACAAGGAAGAAAAAACCCTCAATATTCTGCATTATTGTAACACTCCTCCTATTTTCTGGGAGTCTTTAAAGGTCATGCACGCAAGCCCTCAACCATAAGGTCCAGGACCACTTTCCTTTCAAATAAAAGCTGGGATGAGTATGAATAATCACTTGTATTACTGTGGCATCAAGGCCTGCATCCTCTTGTGCTAAGCATGGGATGAACAGAACAGAAAGACGACTCCTGCCCCAAAGCAATTCTGTAATCGTGTTAAAAACATGTGGGCCGTAGCACAATCAAGTGCTATAAGACCCGTGAGAAAGTCTTTCATCTCAAGTCCTACTCCAGCTCTCCGGAAAACCAGTAGCAGGACCTGGCCCTGTTTTTTTCTGAAGGAGAAAGCCCACAACCTCCGGAATGCTCTTTCCTATTCCCCTTATAAAATTCCTCAATGGGTTGCTAAGCCCCATGAGCAGTAAAGTGGCCTGAGGCTTGGAGTGGTAAATCCCGTCTCCCCACTCTCCCTTGATCTCTGTCTCCTGTCCTCTAAGCTTTCAGTCTGCACTCGGCTTCTTTTCCCTCCCAAAGGAACCTAAAAATAAATCCAAGAAAGAGCGGAAAAAGAAAAAGCCACCAGCCCCCAAACCAACGTTCTTCATCATTGACGGCGAGTAAAAATCATTTCCCAAAGCAACAAATTGCTGAGCCAACCAGATGAGCAAGTCATCTCCATAAATGAGGGGTCTCATCCTCCCTCTCCTTAGGCAGGTCCTTGTCTGAGGGGCCTTTTGGCAAAGCCCTCATCAGATCTAGAGCGGAGTCAGTTGGAGAAGGATCAGGCCCATGAAGACAGCCCTGAGGGTCAGGGCCAGGCGCCCTACTACTCAAGGGGAGGTATAATGAAAAATTGTATCTTCTTTGCACCAGTAGAGACATTTAATAAAGAGTGAGTTATCAAATTGTCATGTGCAGGGAGTTCTGCAGAGACGGTGCAGTAAATGGGGGGGGCTGGTGTAAACCTGAGGATTTTCTGGGCAAGGTAACATGGGGCCGTGTGCAGGCTGCTCGTGGGGTGGGGTGTGCTCTGCTCCCTGCTGGAAAAGCATGAGTGGACGATCCTGGCTCTTGGCTTCTCCAGCTCTTGGCCAAGGTCAAGCCTGTGATTGTTCCCGCTGAGATGTATCGTTCAGTACTCATGGCACGATTAAAGGTTAAGGCACAATCCCCCCCAGCAGAAACAATGCCCTCGTATTCCCGTCGATAAATATTTGGTAGCAGATGACTTGTTCTCCCCTTGGGCTATTGAGGAACGGTGGGCTGCATGATTGGTTTTCAGGACCCAGCCAGCCTTTTTGGGTTAAATCCACCTCTTTAACGTAGGAGAATAGCTGATGGGGGTATTAAGGCATCCTGGGGGAACAGAGACTCGGGATGTGCCAGTAGGGAAATCAGTTAAGCTCTCTGTGTGCTTAGATCTGTGCTCAGAAAATGGGGTGGGACTTGGCTGCATCCATCCTGCTTATGTAGATGATGCTTTTTTCAAAGTAGGGATTAGCTCTTATCTTCCACCTGGCACATGGGGCCTTCATTCTGCAACGGAGTCTCCAGCTCCCGTACAGCAGCGCTAGGACTAAAAATCGCACAGCCAGGCAAGAGGGATGGATTTTTTCTACATTTTGAAAAAAAAAAAACAAACCCGTGTTCTTCATCACCGGGCTCTGGGAGCGTGAATTCCACATCCTAGTGGTTTTTAGGCTGGACTTAGAAACTGGAGTCCTGCTTTGGCTGCTACAGTACCACGCTATGTCCCAAGTCGAACAGGAGCTTGTTCTAGCTGGCCCAGAGGACCAGGGGACAGCTCGAGTACCCTGTTGGAGGACTACCCTTGGCAATACTCAGCCAGGGAGATGTGGCCCCAGGAGAAGGCTGTAGGCTAGGAGTGCCTGCTGCTCCAGTGGTGCTGGGTCAGGTAGGTGACACTGTCACGTCATCCTGAAGAGGCTGGTTTATGTTTTAATACAAAAGACAAAGCCGACAGGCTGCTAGCATGTTTCCTTATCAGAGAGAAGGGAAGAAGCCCTTCTGAAACACGAATGAGTCCACCCAAGTGGGCGACCAGACGTACTGGGCCAACAGGTTGGGGAGACAGAGTCTCTGGACGCCGAGAAAGAGTTTGGCATCTCAAACTGCTTAAGGAAAGACCACTCTCAGAGTTAAGGGGGGAAATACTGTATTTTCTTTTCAATTTTCTATGATGAGACAGTAATTCCGACAGCAAATTAGATTAAAAAAAACAAAAAAAAACAGTCACGCAGTTAGAGTTTGGTTTAAAAATGCAAATAAAAGAACAAGGGGACGAGACCCACTCAGGGAAGACTACGATGAACCGCTCCGCCAGCCTATCCTAAGGTATGTCACTCAGGGCATCGTTCTGGGTCGTGCTCTTTCCCCAGGCAGTCTGAGGACAGACACCAGCCCAGCCTTAGATTACCGCGGCGGCTACGACGCAGACGGCATAAGGCATTGCACGCCCAGTAGAACTGCGGCCCGACGGCTTGTTCTGGGGCTGTGCTGCACGTCCCGCTTCAATCTGACGCTGAAGACGTTCAAAACCTGCTGCCAGCTCCATGTTGGGCTCCCCCCCGCATCAGGTCTGATTAGCGGGTACCCGAGAGGCTGTCTCTGTCTCGCCGCACTGGAGAAATCCTGCAGCTGAGAAACGATGTAGCAGGACCTGGAGGAGCTCTGGGCACTTAATCGGTGTGAAACCGGGGCTCTCCAGAGAGGTGCTGAATATCTGCTGATTTTGGAGTACCTACTGATGATTTTTTTTTCGGAAAAACGCTACTGTTCTGCAACAGATGTTCTTAGACGTCCAGATGCAGGGTTGCAGGTGAAGACTACGAGCAGGCAGAAGCAAGTTTTGGGAGCAGCATTTGTCGCATCCAAGGTTGAAGGGCACAATGCACGCATCAGAAGTGTGCCCAGGCCTGTCCCCACTGCCCACGCCAGACCCCTCCAAGGCATGAGGCATGGTTGTAAAGCCAAACTGATCAGCTGCAGCAGGTGGGGACAGGGGACATCCGCAGGCTACATGCTCACTGTCCTCCCACGGCTCACCTCAGGACCTCTTCCCCACCTGTGCCTCTGATGCTCGTGGTGAATTCGATATTGTGGATGATGTATATACATTTCACCGGGCATAACCATCTATTCACCTACTGCCCACAGACCTTTCTCAGGAACTTCCTTGGTCCCACCGGTACTGCTGGCAGGATTATCAGTGAATTTTGGGGAGCCAGGATTTTACCATCTGTTTTGCCTGGCCTGGGGACATGGATGGTGCTGATCTGGTCCTCTTGCCACCCTCAGCTTTGCCCCTCACCTGCTGCCACTCCCTAACTTCAGAACCCGATCCAGCGCATTGGGAAAGCGAAGGGAGTCTTTTACACCCGGCACGGGCTGGGATTCTTGGCAGACTCTCTTCTGCTTTCCAGTACTGCTTAAAACTCACTTTATCGTTCTCCCAGCTCCACTAGTGTTTGCCTACTGCTGCCAGCCCAGTACAGTGAGCGGCTCCATAAGTGCAGATCTCAGCTCTCTGGGAGGATCTGCGAGCACAGCTAAATCACCTACAACCTCTCCCTCCGTCTGCAACACAGGGTGGACATGAACAGAGCTCTCGCCAGCATTAGTAAGGTGGAAAACAGGTAAGGAGGGTGTTAAAGGCAGTTGGGTTTTGGGATGGGGCAGCAGGGAAAGCGAATGCAAGTCCAGCAGCTGCCACGGCACCCTCCTGCCTGGGAGGCTTGCTGGCTCTGCCAACTGTCTCTTGAGTTTTGGGCAGTTCCAAATGCTGCGAATAATGTTTCCAAAAGGTCTTACGTGGCTGACAAACACCTATGGATTTTATCAGTGTGATTGCGGCTTGCAGATCACTTAGTTGCTTTCGGAAATATTATTCTCAACTCACTGGCTGCGGATGAAGCTGGGAAGATCTGCTGTTTGGGGAACCTGGGAGAAGTTCACTGCACCAAACTCAAGAGAACCTGTGTCAAGTGACTTTGCTCAGCAGAAAGCTGGGCCTTCATGGCCATGAATTCAAGTGACCTCTATTAAATCCTATCTTGACCCCCTTTATATTCTTACTCCCTGAAGAGTCCCACTGGCTGGAGCCTGCCTATGAATCCCTGCCTTGTTAGGTCAGGCACGTGGACATCATGCCTCCAGCTCTCTCACTAGTGCCATCACAACACAAAAACACACCACCAAAGCCCTCGGGCTCTGAAGCTCAACCCTTGGGCACGCTACCATGATTCCCCGTCGCTCCAGCCTGGGACATGCTCTCCCAGGACCAAGCCAGCACGAACCCGTTGAGAAATGACCTAGCGGTCACTGCCTCAACCCATCGTGGAGGGTGATGAAGATGGACTCTCCTCCCCCATCCACTCCCCCACTTCATCAGTGAAAAAGCAAGAAGTAGTAAATAAACGTGCCGGACAGCATTCCCTGCCCCTCTCCCCCAGCGCAGAAGCCCAAACCCAAGAGCAGCTGCACAGCCTCTCTGCAGGAACGGAGGCGCCAGGGGCTGGCTCCACCAGCTGTCCCCCCAGGAAGGAGACCAGGGCTGGGGGACGTGAGAGGGCCTTGTTCAGCTCTGAGAATCATTCTTAAGAACAAATACTGGAAGACCTAGCAGTAAAGCAAGGAATTGTCAGCTGGAGACCTCCAGCTGGAGTTGTCAACTAGAGACCTCCCAGCACCACTTACTCAACAGAGGGGAAAAAGTAGCTAGCAGGGCACTAATGACTATTTTCCATGTAATTTTAAATCTAGTTCCATTTCTTTTTCTTTTTTTTTTTTTCATTTCCACTCACTGGGTTTCTAATCCTGGTAATCTTTCTCTACGGCTCCTGTGTGTGTGTGTATAAGTGTGTGTGTGGCAGAGGCAGTGGGGGTCAGGCGCTTAGACGCATTTGGCAAAGCCAACAGAGTCGTTATCACGGTCAAAGACGGTGTAGTAGGGACCGATGAAGACATCTCCCAGGATCCAGAGCGGGCCCCCGGGGGGTGGGACGTCCAGGCCTGAAAAGCCACTCAGGCAGATGGTCTCTCCTTGTACAGAAACCTAGAGAGAAGAGAGAGAGCTTCAGTCTGAGGAGGTCCTCCCCTTCCCTCAACCTCGCAGGCTCGGCGAGAATGCCTGCCAAGGCCGGCTGCGCTCCAGCCTCTCCCAGCCTGAGATCCACAGCTTGCAAAAGTCACTCCCAACCTGGCACCCCCACGGCTCCAAACCCAGCTCCCCCTCCCAGAGCCCTTACGCAGCAAAGCATCAAGTAAAGCCGCACGTCCCCACAAACCTCCCAGCCCACGCAGCTCTGAATTAGAGCCGTCGTTGAAATTCTGCACAAAATGGTTTTTGCAAATTGACTCTGATGTCTTAAATGCCAGGTTGGTGGCCTCTGCTATGACAAGGCTGGCCTCATGGCACCAGAATCCAGCAGAAAAGGGCAAAATGTTTGTAGAAAGTGATGCAACAGCCTGCCTGCCCTTTCCCTCCCATCCTGCTATTCCTCGTGAGCATCACGCAGGAGGTCTCATTCCTGCAGGACTTCGGTGAGGTTGCCTGGGTCTGTCAGCCAGTGCCACCACCCCGTCACCCCGACCTTTTAGACTTTTTCCCAAGTGCCAGCTCCAGCCTTGCTTTTGCTGCTCTTGCATTTTGGATTTCATGGTTGAGGTCTGAGTGCAGAAGGCAAAAGTTAGGCCTTGGGGGAGAAGCGTAGGGCTGGCAAAAGCTGCCTGGACGCACCTTGAAGACATACTGCTCTCCGGTGAGCTGGTAGGGCTTCCCTCCTAGCGTTAGCGTGACGACAGGCAGAGATGACACCTTATCGCAGGGGATCACGTACTGAAACAGAAACAGTAAAGGCTTTACATGGCAGCTCCCATGCCCTCAGGAAAGGGCACGGTCTCCCCCGGGCACAACCACATCTTTGCTGTGGTTTTCCCTCAGAACTGCTTATCGCAGGGTGCAGAAGAGGTTTGAGCTGGGGTAAGCGGGCTGCTCCCTGCTGGGGTAAGCGGGCTACAAGCTGAGGGGCCAGAGGGTTTTAGGAATAGGGATGGAGCCAAAGGATGCTGGGTTCAGCTTTTGGCTCTGCTGAGCCCCAGGGCACAGCACCTGACGCAGCAGGGCTGGGGTCTTTCCTCTGCCACAGGACGGAGAGATGTGGCTTGATACAGCCTAGAGACACAGACAGGGACTCAAGGTGTGATGAACGGACAAAGCCGGTTTAATTAACACTGGCGAGTCTTGGGGAGGGTGGCAGGTCTAAGCCAGTTGTTGCTGCAGCATGGGGTGTCCCCACACTGCAGAAAAGCCCTACAAGAGCTCATGGCTTTGTGATTTGGGAGGGGTTTCAGAGCAGACCATCCTTCCTAGAGGGTCCTTATAATCCCTGTTCCTCCACAATTTCAGGGAGGAGAGATGACCTTGTGAGATTAGCTAAGATGGTTAAAAGCTTGGCAGGGAAGGGTTGTCATTTGCATTAAATATATTTGTATTAAAGTGTCTCTGGACTCACATTAACATGAATCCTTGGCCTCAGCTGCAACTTGCACCCCTTCATCTCTGCCTCCCAGAGACGGGCAGCAGGGATGACCCAAAGCCTCCCGAAGTTCACAGACTGTGCCCTCTACCAAGAGCATGAGCAGGGCATCGAACGCTACTTGGGGTCAAAAGACGGAGGGGTCCCTGCTATGCCAGGGGCTTTTCCAGGAGCACAGGCTGGAAACGGAGACAGAGGGAGCAGAAGACTGGGGTCTCTAGAAGCATCTGGGTGCAAAGCAGGGCGGCAGCGCGGATGCCGCGATGGCCATGGGTTCCCGCTTTCCCAGCCCTGCCTCACCTGGCCTTTGATGAGTGGTTTTGCACCGATGGCTGTCTGCAGCTCCTTCACTTCCTTGGTGGGGCCAGTGATGAGCGAGGTTCCTGTGTCCACAATGGCCTCGCAGCCCCCTTTGCACAGAGTCAGCCCATTGGCAACATCCACCCTGGGGAGAGATGCCCAGACAGAAGACAACCCTTAGAGGCCTCCCAGCGAAAGCAGCAAGCAAAGAGTTGAAGACGGCTGAGCCTGGGCAGTACGTAGGCATGCGAGGGAGGGCTGCGAGAGGTGCCCAGGAAGGAGAGGCGCTCAGAAATCCTGATGCAGCACCGACTTAGTGCACAGACCCGCTGGCTCCCCGCAGGGCCCTCGCCTGCTCCCCACTGCGTGGGTGCCTTGGTGCGTTACTGCATTTCTGCAGGTAGCCTGGACTGCTGCCGGCGTACCCTGCCTGCGAAACACTGTGACTAACGGGCACGTGAGCGAACTAAGGGAGGTGCATTAGGGACTCATATCACCTGCGCTACTGCAAAAAACAAAGGGTTAAAGGGGTGGTGTGATGGCTGAGGGGGTCATGGGCAAGGGAAGGGTTCGTGTACATCGAAGAGGCAAGACAGGAGCTGCTTGGCTTCCTCACCTGCATTGCGTTTCACAAGCAGCACGGACAGATAAAGCCTTCCAGCCAAGGGTTTGCCATGCTTTGCCAACGTGGCAGGGCTGGGGGAAGATGATAACTAAAACTCTGCGCTGGGGAGGGATGCGATCTCCAGGGAAAGGACACACTCTGATCACAGGCCACTTTTAAGTTCCCATCACGTGGGAGAGCTCAGAATAGACCGCAGGGCTGGCGGCCGGCAGCTCAGCCCGCTCTCCTCCCCTCTGCCTCCAACAATGCACGCTGATTGCCATGCCGTGCCCTTCAGTCAAGGGCTGGCTTCCTGGGGCCTCATCCTGCTCCTCCGGAGCTGTGTGCAAGTGAGCCACACAGCTCAGGCCCCAGTGAGAGTTGAGCAAAGCCGGGGTTTAATCCGTGGGGCTCGCCCTGCCTGCAAGGAGGACACGCTGGCGTTTTTCCCCGCTTCGCAAGGGCACAGCAGGCGTTTTCAAGGGCCAAGCCATAAACAAGAAGGAAGGATTGTGCAGAACATCTCCTGCTGTTTTCTGCCTCTCCTCCCCTTCCAGCAACAAACACCCCAGCCTTAGGGTGGGATTTTAATCTGCTTTTTTTTGGTGTGGATGTGTTACAGGGATAGAGATGATTCCTTTTCGGGGAGGGTCTCAGCCCAGCCCCAGGTGTGAGTTGTCTGCACACATGTCCCCACGCATGTCGTTGGGTGGAGGAGTGACTTACGCATCCATGTGGACCTGCCAGTAGGCCTTGCGCGTGACGTTGACCCAGCTGAAGTCGCCGCTGTAATACTTGGGGTCGGTCCCTCCCAGGAGCAGCTCGCCGCCGGGCTGAGCGGTGGGGTCTCTGAAAAACAAAGCCCAAACTCGTGAACATCAGGGGCAGGGTGAGAACAACCCCCTCCGTGTGCCCCCAAAACACACACTGGGGTGCTTGGGAGTGAAGCATGGCATTAGCAGCATTGAAGACGTACGTCATGCTATAATATGTCAATATAAGGACAGATACTGTGAGATAGGCTTGGGGTGGGGAAATGGGAATAGTTTGGCCCACGCGAAGCATCCTGCAGCTTTTCACCTTGTGCTTTTGCATGGACACCTGGAGAAACTCGCTGCAGAGAAGGGAGACCGCAAAGGGGAACTGAGCACTGGTGCAGGGACCCCCCGAATAGTCGGCTTGTAACAAG